AATGTTAGCACTTTATCAATACCCAACATAGACCGAATAGATTTCCACTGGCTGAGGATCAAATCAGAGACTTTATTAAAAGTTTAAAAAAGCAGGAAACACTTAACCGATCAGAAAACATCTGTGGAGAGATTTGGGTTTCTGATTCCATTTGGCCCAATCGCAGTATAAAGTTGTTGAATCATTTGAGGGGCCAATAGGTCATGTTTGCAAATCCAAGTGAATTATGGTTACTGTCAAAGAGTAACACTTGTAGGTGGCCTCTTGTTCAGATGAGAGCTTATCACTTTAAAGATAAAGGTTACCCTGTGATTAATTGATTTGTTCAGCAATGTTTTTGCACACCTCTGCAGCAGGTGGGAATAAAGCCAGGTCTCCTGGCTCAGAGGTAGGGACTCTACCTCTGTATGAGCTCCATGATAGTCCTCCACTCTACCAGTTGAGCTATTGATGGAGAGCCACTATTCTGTGATTAAGTCCTATCAGTGCTAATTGTTATCAGAAGATTTCCTTCAAAGGCTTAATTTGTTGGCTGCGTGTGCACAATCGGAGTATCACTTTTAAACTTGCATTCCATAAAGCACCGTACATTATAAATAAATGTACATAAGATCACCAGGACCAAAGAAATTCAGGTATATTTGGCAAGGGCCCTTGAAAGTTATCTCCAAAGTGCTGCCTGCATTTGGAATTTTTTTTACAGATCATTTTTGCTGTGCTTCAGTAGATCCTAAGCAATTTACTGTCAATTAACAAGCTCTGCTTTCTCTTCAGGGACTGACATTTCTGTTCTATTTTTAATCATGTTGGAAATCCATCTCACTGTATTTTATAGTCCATCAGCTTTTATATGCCTGTTGCTTGATGGACTTGTAGTTTGCAACTTTTTGCAAATATATACAGTAATGCCTGTCAAAAGTCCCTTGTTCATTCTTTTGTTGCAGATACATCGGTGCATGTAATAATGTATCACAGAGGCCGTTTTTAATGGACACATTCTATCTCCAATCTGGGAACACACTCTCCCTAAATTATTAAATAAAAGTCTACAGCTGTACATTAAAGAAATTCTGGGTGAAAATTTCAGAAGCCCTACCTTGGGAAATTAAAGTAAGATCGAACACCTGTTTACCCATTTGCCTTTCTGTGATTCAGCGTTGCATCCTGATCGAGGGATTATTTGAATACGAAGATCTGGTGCCCATGTTAGCTGCACAATTGGAAATCTCAGCTATGGAGAGTATGCTCTCAATCATCCTCTTACTCTTAATATATTGATATAACCTCTATGGGTTTTCCTTAATTTTACCAGCCAATTTTTTTGTATTCTGTTCGTTAATTTCCTTGTTCATTTCACCCCTGTAATTGCCCTACTCCTAAAATATTACATTTTTTGAGTTCATCGCAAGTTCTCTATTTCTGCTTTATCGTACCCTGACTAACTCTGTCCCACTGTTTTGTGGGTCTGTATTTCATGCCTAGCCGTGTGGTTGCCCTTTATTGTTTCTGAGCTCAACCCAAGGGACCTCATTTGATGCTTGATTTAGTATGCCATCCTTAACCAATAATGCTACACGTCTACCTTTTTATTCCCTTCTCTATATTACCTGAAAACTCTCAAACTAGAGCTGGCATCCTTGCCCTTCTTTAAAACAAGTTTCCATTATAGGCATATTGTAACGTAATGTCATTGCTATCTGTGCCCTCAGTTCATTAGGTTTATTTGCTATACTGCTCGCATTGCTATATATACCTTTTAATACTATCAGATCTTGTGCTGTACACGTTTTAATTTCTGCTCCCTCTGACCTTCAGATTCACTTGCTCAGGTTCCCATCCCGCCTGCCAATTTAGTTAAACCTTCTCTAACAGCACTAGCAAATTTCCCTGAAAGGGTATTTATTCCAGTCCTGTTCAGTTGTAGACTGTCTGGTTTGTATCGTCTCACCATCCTAAAACTGATCCCAATATCAAAGAAACTTGATGCCCACACTTTTTCACCAACTTTCCTGCCACAGATCAATTGCTCAATTCTCCTATTTCTGTGCTGACTAGCATGTTAGACTGAAAATAAATCTGAGACAACTGCCTTAGAGATCTGCTTCCGAGTCTTCATCCCCATTCCTACAGAGATAATTTATACCAATTTACCGCCTCTGGCTCCTCACTCTTCCCCCAGAAGCATGTCCTATTGCTGTTCCGTAATATTCTTTATCCTGGCACTAATGTCCTTTAGGGAAGGAGATTGCGTCCTTACCTGGTCTAACCTGCTTATGACTCCAGACCCACAGCAACGTGGTTGACTCTTAACTGTCCTCTTAAATGACCCTAACAAACTAATCAGATCAAGGGCAGTTGGAGAAAGACTGTAAATGCTGGCCCAGCTAGCAACATTCACATCCAATGAATGAATTAAAGAAAAATTAGGGAAGTAATGTATCATCCTGGAGTCATGTCAATGGCTGTAGAAATGCCAGCCTGATCCTCTGTGAAATCCCCTATGACTATTGCTCTTCTGTTCTTCTACCTTCTTCCTTCCCGATCATCCATCTCTGTACAGCTAGGCCACCCATCGTACAATCACTTGGCTGTGGCTGCACTCTCCTGAGGAACCGTTGTCCACGCCAGTATCCCAAATGGAATACCGATTAGCAAACAAGGTAGACTCTAAAGATTCCTGCCATACCTGTCCGTCTTTTGTTTTTTAAAAGACTGCCTAGTGATCACCCATTCCCCCTCTGCCTGTATGCTTCTAATCTTTGGTGTGACTACCTCCCTATATGTGCTCTCCCTGTTGTCTTCTGCCTCATGAATGCACACGGAGACTCCAATTGCTGTTCAAGTTCTGAAATCTGCTACTCAAGCTTCTCAGCTGGTAATACTTGCAGATGTTAGTCTGGGACGCATGGACACACAGCTCTACAACAAATGTATTTGATTGATACAACCAGTGTATCTATTAAGAATTCCAGTGGAATTTAGCATTTTGCCAATTTTGCCTCCAGAGATGAGATCACCATGGAAGGGGATGGGAGGGGGTTTGCTGCAACATTAAGTGATGGAAAACATGGCTGGTGTGGGTTCAACCTCATTCTCTTTTCCCCCTCTAATCCAGAAGTTCCACATTTCAAGGCTCTTGTAATATTATTGCGAGCATGCATTTCTAGATCCTGATAATTAGTGTTTGAGAGGTTGAAATGAGTGTGTTGACGCAAACTCTTTTTCGCCCTATGGCTGTCTCAGTAAGAACATAATAATGAGTTCAGTAATTACTGTAGATATTGGCAAAGGCTTAATTGAGCATCAGTATTTGCTGGCATTAATCGCAGTGTGATTACTATTTGTTCTAGTTGACACACCTCTGATAGAGGTTAAGAAGTAGCTGCTACAAAGAAGTGCTGAAGTGTTCTTCTGAGCACAACTGACAGGAGTCTTGTCAAAATGAATTATTTTTTAAAGTGTAAGATGCAGTATGGTAGAGATCACATGACTATGGCAGAATAGAATGATATTTGTGCACAATTAACATGAAATTTTGAGTTACCCAAATTCTACACCGCTGTTCTCGTGCATTAATAATTTGTTATCCTTGTCAGTGTCTGCGTATGCATTGCATGTATAAACTTTAAATCGTGCTGGTCTCTTAACACATGTATGTTGTTATAACAAGGTATAGAGCTGGATGAACACAGCAGGCCAAGCAGCATCAGAGGAGCAGGAAGGCTGACGTTTCGGGCCTAGACCCTTCTTCAGATGCTCTCCAGCATCTGCAGTTCCTGCTATCTCTGAAATATGTATGTTGTTGTTGGCTGTTCATCTGGGTCATGCCCCTTTACTGGGGAGTGTCGTTACAATGTCATTTATTATTGTCCTGGTATATATTCCATTTTGGTTGTTGATTTACTTTCTGGTGGTAGATTTGTGAACTGTGCGGAGGGTGACTTTGTATCTGTCTGACCAGCTCCCTGCTTGTAAAACAAAACCCTGCTAGGTAAAACAGCAATTTATTTATACTTCTTTCAATGCATTGTGCATTGTTCACCATGCAGTCTGCTTGACATTGAAGACAAATACAGTTGTAGGCAGTTGTAGTCTAGGACTGCCTGCCTGCAGTGCTGTCAAATTATTTTTGCTTGCATCACCATAGCTTTCAATACTGCTGCAGGCACATAGATCTGTGAAGCTGTCACCCAGTGCCTGACTGTGTGGGTTGTTCCTCTTCTAGTCGACCCCAGGTACTAGACTGAAGAAGCAAAAAAGGTTTGGAACCTGTCTCCTGGCTCAGCTTCAGTGAGATGGTTGGGCTACTTTCTATAGTGGCTTGACCACCATTGACTGAGCGTGGATGATGACAATGCCCACGATCTCAGCAGGAACACAGCATGATAACGTGCAGTTATCTTGAGGTACAAGGAGACCATTATAAGGAGGTACAGCAGGCAATGCGGTGGATCTGGCTTAATTGTATGTTTTGCGCATTTTTTATCAGTAAAGAAATCTGTGATTGCAATATCCTCTCCTTAGCTTCCACAACAGTTGGACAAGGCTTTCAAGTTCTGCTTTTGGAGTTGTAGGCAGCAGAATTAGTTTAATTTCCTTTTTACTTTTATTCCAGCTGAACATCATATGTCTTAACTCGCAGTTGGAAAATTTAGGCAAAATTTAGCCTAGATTGCTTGAGCATGTGGGAACAATAAAGATTACGTATCCAGGTGCTACTAATTTGCTTGTGTTTATATAAGATGTAAAGAACTAGTCAAATGGAAGGTGCTTGCTTGGGCACAGATTTATTCTGGCCAACCTAACATTTAACCCAGAAGAGATTTAATCTCTCAATTATTGCTAAGGCTTGTCATGTCAAACATTGAATTTCCACTTGGCCTGTTACTCTGTTTATCACAGTTATACAGTGTAAGGTGAACTCGGTTAGTACATACAGGATTATTGAAAAGTGAACTTAATGGCCAAACTTTAACTTTTCTGCACTTGTCTCCTCACAGAATGACATCTATGAGTGGTGCCGAGATCACCGGGTACATCATAAATACTCAGAGTCCAATGCTGACCCTCACAATGCCACCCGTGGATTCTTCTTTTCTCATATTGGCTGGTTATTCCTTCGGAAACATCCAGATGTGGCAGAGAAAGGAAAGAAGCTGGATGTTAGTGATCTTCTTGCTGATCCTGTTGTTGTGTTCCAAAGAAAGTAAGCACAACTGAGTGAGAAAAGAGCTCAGGAATACTTTGCAATACACGTCCACTACTGCTAATAGTAAATATTGAATGTGATTACTTGCTTGGAAGCTTCATTCCAAAAGTTCAAAAAGTAACCAGTTTTGTTTTTGGGTTATTGCCATTGTCTGCAGCATGGGCTTACAAAATAGCTTATCTAAAGAGCAGTGTCCCTTTATTGATATTGTTATTGGTAGAGCTACTGATATTGCCAAGCTACTATGACCAAACTGTCATTGAATAATTAATCATTTGTATTAAAAAGAGATGAATTAATAATTTATTGTAGACTAACACTCATGTCAAAGTTTTGATTTAATGTCATGATCTGAGCATATGATAGCTGATAAACCAACTTACAGTCTGACCCCCATCCCTTAGAATATAAGAACTGGGAACAAGAGCAGGACCAGGCAATTCAACTCTTTGAGCTTGCGCTGCCACTTAATACAATCATGGCTGATCTAATCTTGGCCTCAATTCCCTTTTCTGCCTGCTCCCTATAACCCTTTAACTCATTACTAATTTAAAAATCTGTTATCTCCTCCTTAAATTTACTTGGATACCCCAGCATTCACTGCACTCTGAGCTAGTGAATTCCACAGATTCACGACTCCTTGAGAGATGTAATTTTTCCTCATCGCTGCTTTAAATCTGCTGTCCCTTATCCTAAAATTATGATCTCTCATTCTAAATTACCCCACTTGAGGAAAAATCCTGTCTATGTTGGCTTAGTCAATCCCCTTCAGCGTCTTATATACTCCAATTAGTTGTCCTCTCATTTTTCTGGACTGCAACGAGTACAGGCCTAAACTGCTCAATCTCTCTTCATAAGTCAAACCGTACACTGTGCAAGGGCAATGGAAGATATGACTGTATCTATCACTACAGCTGAAATAAATATGACCAGGTTTGTGTTTCTGCTTATAAATTTTTACCATTTATTTATAGAAGCCTCTATGATGAAGTTCAAATTTAACCTTGTTTAAAAAGCAAGGTATTGTGCTTTTTAAAAATATGTTGTAACATTTGGGAGAGATACTTTGCTGCTTAACTGCATCAAAGTGAAGATGTCAGTTATTCTCCCATGAGGACTTCTTCTAATTCACTCACTTTAAGAATTTAAGACAGCTATCTGCATTATATTCAAACAAAATTAGCTCACTAAATCACTTTCAGTGAAGGGGAGAGTCTCACATCTGTCTAGAATTCTGCAAACTCTGCTATGTTTGACTCTTGCCTTTCAGAGCAGTGCTTTTCAAAATGTAATGAAGTTTTTTTGGAAATGATATGCAACAGAATCATAACCTTTTAAAACATAACATCCAATGCAAATCTATACCTTGTGGTTTTAAAGGAAACAAAATCACACTTCTTTTCCTCTCCAATCTTTTCCCACTCCTCTTTTCATTTTTATTGGCCACATCTTTTTTAATCTGTTAGTGCCTGTCTGCTAATGGAATGGTCAACACTGGGCACCGCTTCTTAAGAATACAAACATAATACCACTATTCAAGAAAAGAGGGAGAGAGTAAGCTGGGAACTACAGACCTGAAAAAGTGCTGAAGTTTATTATTGAGGGAGGTTTAACAATGGACCTAGAAAAAGTAGTATGATTAGAACAAGTCAACTTGGTTTCACAAAACAGAACTCCTGTTTAACAAATTTAGAGGAAAACTAGTAAAGTAGATAAAGAGAATCAGTAGAAGAAGTTTACTTGGACTTCCAAAAAGCATTGGATATGGAGCCAAATATAAGGTTAATTCAGAACAGTTAGACTCATGGGTTTGGCAATAACATGGATAGAAGACTGCTATAGCAAGAACAAAGTAGGCACAAATAATCATTTTCAAATTGGCGGCTGTGACTGGTGGGAGTGTCACATAGATTAGTACTTGGGTTTCAGCTATTTGCAATCTTTGTTAATGACTTGCTGACGAGACAGAAAATAAGGTTGCAAAGTTTGCTTATGATATAAAGTATGTGGGAATGCTAGCTGTGAGAAGCATATGGAGAGGCCACAAAGAAATATAGATGGGTAAAGTGAGTGGGCAACAAGTTGGCAGGTAGAGTATTGTGTGGATGTGTGAGGTTTCTCATTTTGGTCATAAGAATAAGAAGCAAAATTCTTTTTGAAAGGTGTGAAAATTGTAAATGTTGATGATCAGAGACATGAATGTTTTCATACCTTTCAGTTTCAAGATTGAGGAATAGGCAAGAGAAAAGTACCATAATGTTTGGCTACAAATTGTTTTGGACATGGTTGGCCGTGATTGGAAATGTCAATGGGTTTCAAATATACATATTGAACCACTTTATCCTATCCATCAAGTCCTGTGGGGTTTCACCTGTCAGAGATGATAAGAAACCTGTTCATTCACATCTTGTATTTATTTCCTTTTCACCTGTTGAGACTTACTTACCTCAAATAAAGAAAAGATCAATGGCCTAAGTTGCATTGTATTCTGTAACACTAAAGCAGTCATGTAGAAGTTTAGTAAAAGTTGTGCCTAGATTCTAATGCATTTTTATTGAAAAGCTTACTGACCTCCCAGTGAGGTTAATTACTTGAAGCCTATAATTTTTATTTGAATTGTGCCTGGCTATTTAATTTGAATTGCATCTCTCACAGATAACTTGTACATATTGATAAATAGTTTCTACAATTACCTTTGATTGTTCTGCATTGGGCAGCAACAAGAAGGTAAATAGGTAATAATTCATGCTGCACAAATTAAAACCACATTTCCAAGAAGGAAGTTGTCAGCATCAAAGTTTTGCTGTTGAGCTCCAGTGTGGGCAAGGCAGTATCTATTGCAGTAACAGGCACAAAGGTCAGAAGGTCCCAGATACAAATCTTAGGTCCATATGCAGTCAAGTTGGCAGTTGGGCTGTTAAGATTTGCTATCGTGCGCGTGATCTAATTAAAGGAACTACAATGAGCTAAGGTTCCTGCTTTTATTGATTGTCTAATAACTGTCTGATGGAAGACAAATATCTGATGGAGATGGGATCAGGTTTGAATATGATGCCCTTTGTGGTTGAAAGCATACTAACATTACTTACAATATTCATATTGACAGTACTGTGCTACAGACTTAGCCCTTAGTGGTATTCCAGCCAATGTTCAAAAACTGCCTACAATTTAAATGACAGGTATTTGTTCATCAGAATTTATTGTTTCTTTCCACGCTCCAAGTTTTGTTTCACATTGTTAACATTTACTAATAACATGTAGATGGTATGATGCAAGAGATGAAAGTGAGTGGACAGATGCATTGTCTAAAGTAATGCTAAGGTATTGAGAACAGGAAAATTCCTGATTTGATCCCATGTCTTTGTCCATTTAATTAATCCTAGCCAGTGCACTCAATTTTCCAGGCATTGAAAGGGAAGAATCAGCATTAGATCCCATTTCTGCCCTGTGATTAACACAAGAAAACATGAATTAGGAGGAGAGCAGGTACCACAGCCACTGAAGCCTGTTCTGCCATTCAGCAAGATCATGGCTGATCGACAATCTCTCATTATACTCCATTTACCAGAATTTTTCCCATTCATTGAACCTATCTATGTCTCTTCGTAGCCTCCTTAGGTCCTTTTCACAACTTATTTTCCATCTGCTCTTTGTACCATGGACATATTTAACAATCATATTTTTGGGCCCTTATTTCAAGTAGTCTATATAATTTGAGAAAGCAAAATTTAGGGGGCCTAGCACTGTTCCCTACATGCTACATATTACATTTTGCCAACCGGTTTAATTTAACTAATCCCTACACCATGTGCTATTATTTTCCACAGTAACCTTTGATGTGACACCTTATCACGTGCCTTCTGGAAACCTATGTACAGTATGTTCACCAGTTCCCCTTTGTCCAAAGCATGTATTACTTCTTCAAAAATTGCAAAAAATTGGTTTGACCTGATTTTCCTATTACAAAACATGTTGATTCTCTGTGATTACTCTGAATTTTTCTAAGTGCCCTGCTATAATATTTTTAATTATAGCTTCTAATGTTTTCCCTACTACAGATATTAAGCTAACTAGCTGAAATTTCTGTTTTTTATCTCACTCTTTCTTTTATTAAAAATAAGTTACATTGAGTATTTCCAAACTATTGGAGTCTTCCTCAAATTTTGTGAAATTTGGAAAATTAAAATGCATCAACTATCTCACTGGCAACTTCTTTTATGACACAAAGGTTGGTGGATTTGTGGAGAGTGTGGAGGGCTGTTGTAGGTTGCAACAAGACATTGACAGGCTGCAGAGCTGGGCAAAGAAGTGGCAGATGGAATTCAACCCGGAAAAGTGTGAAGTGATTCGTTTTGGAAGGTCGAATTTGAATGCAGAATACAGGGTTAATGGCAGGATTCTTGGCAGTGTGGAGGAACAGAGGGATCTTGGGGTCCGTGTCCATAGATCCCTCAAAGTTGCCACCCAAGTTGATAGGTTTGTTAAGAAGGCGTATGGTGTGTTGGCTTTCATTGGCAGGGGAATTGAGTTTAAGAGCCGCGAGGTTATGCTGCAGCTCTATAAAACCTTGGTTAGACCACACTTGGAATATTGTGTTCAGTTCTGGTCGCCTCATTATAGGAAGGATATGGAAGCTTTAGAGAGCGTGCAGAGGTGATTTACCAGGATTCTGCCTGGAATGGAGGGTAGGTCTTATGAGGAAAGGTTGAGGGAGTTAGGGCTTTTTTCATTGGAGTGAAGAAGGATGAGAGGTGACTTGATAGAGGTTTACAAGATGACGAGAGGCACAGATAGAAGGACAAGGGTAGGAGATACATGGGAACACCACTACCACCTGCACATTCCGCTCCAAGCCAGCCATAATCCTGACTTGGAAATGTATCACTGTTCCTTCACTGTCACTGGGTCAAAATCCTGGAATTCCCTCCCTAAGAACATTGTAGGTCAACCCACAATACATGGACTGCAGCAATGACCTGGTAAGCCATTGGGTTCATGGGCATTTAGGGATGATCAACAAATGACAAGGGGTAACTAAAACTAACATATATATTGCAGATAATTCACATAGTTTACAGAAGATTTATTTAGTCATCATTAAGACCTGTCTCTTCCAGTTCGAACAAAGGGCTGTTTATTCTCTTTGTAGCCAGTCAATTAAATGTTCACCTGTGTGTTAGTGGTTTTTAGTGTCTTTGTACACATTCTGATGATTGTGCTTCTGAGAAAATTGTGCTGGTAATTTCTGTCTGAGTAAAATTTGCTTTCTTTCATAGGTATTACAAGACCTCTGTTTTAATCATGTGTTTCTTCATGCCAACTTTTATTCCCTGGTACTTCTGGGGAGAAAATCTGTGGAATTCCTATTTCCTGGCGTCTATCCTTCGGTACACGATATCCCTGAATGTCACGTGGTTGGTGAACAGTGCTGCTCACATGTATGGAAATAGACCCTATGACAAATACATCAGTCCTAGAGAAAATCGCTTTGTTACATTTGGAGCAATTGGTGAGTAAGAAGTTGGTTGTTAAGTTTATCTGTGAACATGGAAGTCTTCTTAAACTTATGATATTTGATAGAAGGTAGGGACTGACCCGTTGCTCACATTGAACCAAGAATCTTGGATTTTAGTGATGAAATTCAACCTTTCCAAATCTTCTTTTGCTTGTCTCCTGAAGATGACAACTGCTTTGTCTTTAGGATTTTTTTTTGTGTGAAGCCTCGTATTATCCTGAGGAGGTGTTAGCTAGCTCGCTTGGCTGGATGCATGGTTTGCAATGCAGAATGATGCCAGCAGTGTGGGATCAATTCCCACACTGGCAAGCAGAGCTCTCCTTCTCAACCTCTCTCCTCGCCTGAGGCATGGTGATCCCAGGTTAAACCACCACCAGTCCTCTCTCCTCCTCTCTCTCTCTCCCTAATGTGAGAGCGGTGGTACCTTTAATGTTTTGTCGACCTCTGCCTCCAAATCCTTCTTGTCTTCCACAGTACTGAGCCTATTTCCATTATGAACATTCAATTTGCCATATTTTATATCAGAATGTCATTTTATCAATGTTCCCTTACAGATTCCTTTTCATCATCTAATAAAAAAAAAAATTTCATTCACTTTGTTTTCATTTTTCCTCATTCTCTTTCCTTCACCTCGTCCATTTCTGATTCCTATCATCCCTCTTTGATTTTTCTATCTCCATTTCTAGAGATAAACTAACTACTAATGTTCTCTACAAATCCACAGACTATCACAGTTATTTTAACTACTCCATTTCTCCAGTTTCTTGATCTCTGTTGAATCATTTCCAATGATGCTAGCTTTCATGTCAACAGTTAAGATGTGGAGTGGTTAGATACAACTAACTAGTTAGTATACCCTAACCCCCACTGACTTCCCTATAGCACTTTCTCATGCAAGCATAGCAGATGCATCACCTGTCCTTTCACTACTGTCTTCTCCCTGCAAAGCCCCAAACACTTATTCCAAATGTGACAGTGATTTACTTGTTACTCTTTCAAATTAGAATATTGTATTCAGCGCTCATATTGTCCCCTGTATAGTGGGGAGTACCAACATAAATTGGGTGATTACATTACAGAGCACCTCCATTCAGTCTGCGAGCACAACCCCTTGCAGTTGCTTATGATTTTAATTCGTCACCTTGCTCTCATGCTGACCTTTGGCCTGCTGCAGTGTTCCAGTGAAGTTCAGCACAAACTCAAGGAAGAACACCATATCTTTTGACTTGATACTCTGCAACCTTCGAGACTCAGCACTGAGTTCAACAACCCGTGTCTCTGTGGGGTTCCTCCGGGTGCTCCGGGTTCCTCCCACAGTCCAAAGATGTGCAGGCTAGGTGGATTAGCCATTGGAAATGCAGAGTTATAGGAATGGGGGGTGTGGGTCAGGGTAGGATGCTGTTCCGAGGGTTGGTGTGAACTAGATGGACCAAATGGCCTGCTTCCACACTGTAGGTATTCTATGATTATAACTTTACATTATAACCTCTGCCTCTGACTTATTCTGTTTTTTTTTATTAGTCCTTTTTTATTGAGTTTGCTGAGTTGGTCTTGCTTTCTTTTAACATCTTATACGGTATTTCAGATCATTTTTGCAGAGCAATTCATGGCTCATTCATACCCAACTTCTGTTTCTTTCCTATTTTCTTTCTGGAGAAAGTCTTGTCTGCCTACATGTGTGTCCAGAACTACAGCAGTGTGGTTGACTCTTAAATGATCTCTGCAATGCTCTAGCAATCCAGTTAGTTGTAACTAACCACTACAAATTCTGATGAGAGGAATGCATTTATTAGCTTTTTAGTTATCCATTGTTGGCTCCTAAAAAAAAAAATCTGAATCATCTAGCCCACCACCTTTTTTTTTATCTTTATTTATCTTAGATTTTAATTTGAAACTCTTATTGACCCTTTCTCTTAAGCCTAGATGATTCATTTTTCTCGTCAAGTCCTTCTTTTTGACAAGACTAAATCTTTGCTAAGTGTTATGCAGTACATGCTTTAGACAAGTCTTTCTTCATACTCCTACAATTGCCCTTATTTAAATTGATGATGTTGGTTTGAGACCTGAGTTGCTCTCCCTCAAACTGTACTTAAATTTTTACCATGTTGTGATCACCATTTCCTAGAGGATCCTTAACCATGAGATCTCTTATTAATCCCAATTCAGTGCATATTACTAGATCTAAAACAGGCTGTTCTGCAACAGGCTGCTCTAAGAAACAATCCATAATGTCCTGTACAACTTCATCTTCAATGTTACTCATGCACATCTGATTTGTCCGGTCAATATGCAGTTTAAAATCACCCGTGACACTTATAGCACCCTTCTTACATAACTCCATTATTTTCCAATTTATGGTTTGTCCTAAAGTGGGGCTACTCTTTAGAGACCTATAGATAATTTCCATGAATTACTTCTTTTCCTTGATATTCCTCACTTCCACCCAACCGATTCCACATCACAATCTGTTGCACCTATATCACTATTCATCACTACACCAATGCCATCCTTTATTAACAAAGCCACCCTATCTCCTTTTGCCTATACTTCTGGAATGGTGAATATGCTTGAATATCAAGTTCGTAGTTTTGATCAATTTGCAAGTATATCTCTGAAATAGCTATCAAGTCATGTTCATTTTTTTCTACTATGACATCAACTTAGCTACTCAGGTATAATGCTGCAGGCATTCAGATAAAGATCCTGAATTGCAGCTCATTTTTCCCACAACGAATTTTGAGCCGCACATTTACCTCACTAACTTTATTTACCCTACTCCTGTTTGCACATGGATCAGGTGGCAATCAAGTGATTATTAACTTCTGGTTCTGCTTTTAAACCCTGAACTTCTCATAATCCCTCAGCCAAGCCTCTTTCCTAGGCCTACCTGTGTCGTTGGTACCTACCCTTCTCACTCTAAGTTCCTGTCCAATCCCAAATAGATATCTTTAACCAGCCTTCGAAACCCAGTCTTTGCTTAAGAGAACAATTTTATATCCCTAACTATGGTCTCCCCTATTAGTACTATCTGTATTAATATTTCCTTCATCCCTCCACTCAAATGGGACTCTGGATCACGATGCTGTTGTTTTCTCATCTCCCTAGTCAAGAACTTCATACCTATTGGACAAGAGGACTGGCTGAAGCACTTTCAAAGCAGCCACATGCACCTGTCCCTGACCACAGATCAAAAACAAGTCTTCCAGGCAGCTGTGCTTCTTCCTGATATGCCACAGTGTCTGCAGCTTGGACTCCAGCTCATACCAAATGTTCTTGAGCAGCCAGCATTTGCTGCAGATGTGGTTCCTGTGAATTGCACCGGTGTCCATTAGCTCCCACACACTACAGTGGCAACACATCACCTGCCCTGCCATCTTGATTCTGTTTCTTTCATTAATTAAGATATTAAATATTTTACGTGAATTTCTCAACTGTATTTGTCTGCTGTAATAGCGCCTCCTGATTTCAACCACTTGGGCAATCAGAAGAGACACTGAAGAAATACCCATCAATCATCCACCTGTCTTCCTGTAAAATTACACTTTGGCTCTGACAGATGGAAACAGGTTGCAAGGGCTCTGTGCTGCTGGTTTTTATCTCGGGAAGGTCGCTCTCCATGTTCCGAAACGTACATTTCACACAGTTAAATCGCTTATTCCAAATGCCAACAGATGGATCAAGGCTTCAGGTTGCTATGTGCAACTCCACTGAGATGTATGATTCCATCCCTAGCCAAGCTTAGGTTCAGGCATCAGCTCCATTCTGCTCTTCCTAGTTTTGATTGTTGCATCCATTTAAAGTTAGACATGCTGAGTTGGAATAACTAAGGAAGGTGAAGGAAGTAGATCATTGTTATGCCAGGAGCAAGCTTACCACATTTGGAATAGGACAACAGGTCACAATACAGAATCATTTAGCTGGTAGAGCCATGCTCATAAAAGGTTACTTCATTACATTGCAATAGAGGTCAGATAAATATCATGATCATATCTGGATGGACATATTTATCATTAACCAGGCGTGATCAAAAACAACATTCGACATCCAAAGAGAAGAATCCATGCAAATCTGTTTGGATTCCAAGAACTGTTTTCCTTTTTCTAGATCAGGCCACTTGATTAAATGCATTATTACAATTGATGAGTGTGTGTTCCTGTTCCTGTTTTATGTCAGCGTGTTTCTCTCCTATTGCTGTTGTTACGTTTTATAAAGCTTACATTTATCCATTGAGGGTAATGTTATGGTACACCTTTAAGAAACACGAATGAATATCTAATTTGAAACATTGTGTCACATCGCCAGCTGATGGTACTACAGATCAGATCCCAGAATGAAATCTGGCTGATGGATCGAATGTTTTGTTTTATTTTAGTTAACACTACAGTCCTTCACTGAACCATAGTCACACAAGGCTGCTGAGTTCCTTTAAAACAGACATTTATTACACAAAAGACAAAAGCAAACACAACAAAGCTACCTAGGTATAGAATACAGAAAATTCTTAAAATACCCAATGAAACAAAGTTTCAACCTATTTCCTAACTTCACAGCAATTTAAATAGAGAGACATTAAGTTCTCAGATCTTTAAGTTCTGAGATTTGAAATAAAAACTTGAGGGTTAATATTTTGGATGAATACTAAATTATTCCATTTTTTACAGGAGAAGGATTCCACAACTATCATCACACGTTTCCATTCGACTACTCAACAAGTGAGTTTGGTCTACGACTGAACCCAACAACATGCTTTATTGATTTCATGTGTTGGCTTGGCCTTGCAAGTGACCGAAAGCGAGCTTCTAAGCAGATGATTGAAGCACGTAAACTGAGGACTGGGGATGGCAGCACTTAAAAGAAAAATGAAGAAAATCTCAAAGTCCATATGAAGATTTCACTGAAATTTGCTGTTATTTTAATCTGGAAATATAGTCATCATATGTCAAGCTTGTGACAATGACAATGCATCTAGCTTTATTGCAGTTTCATTTTTTTGCACTTAATTTTTTCCAGACCATGCTGGTGGAAGACATCCTTGCATATGTTTAATATATTTCAGAAACTGCAAAAGGCCTACTTAATCTGCTTGCCATGCTTTGATGTAGTGACAGCAGATGTTCCATATAGTCCTGCAGTATCTGAAGGAGAAATTGTATATCAATTAAGTTTGCTTTGCCCTCAGATTTTAAATTCAGTTATGATGATAATATAATGGATTAATGAAACAGGTTAGTGAAATGATTCCCCACTCTAGAAAGCTGATGCAGTAGCCCTCAACATAATTTCATAGTGGTGGTCTTGAAAGGGATAAACTGCATGAATTTGTTTTAATATTAATGCCAGTAAAGTTGCTAATTTCACATATATATTTTAGTTTATTTAAATCCATGTAAACTTCATACTGGAAAGTAGTTACTGAGGGGTAAGTGAAGGGCGTTGAAATTTGGGTACATGCATAAAGGGTTGTTAAGAGTCTTTGTATAACTTGAAACAAAACAGTTTTATTCAATTCTGGTAAGGTGATGTAATGGAAGATTAATTCTTAGGTACCTCTTGTATGACAAAGGAGAATTGTTAGTTGGGGGAAAAGGAATCTTTGAGGTTTATTGGATATGGCACATATGTGTTCAGGGAAAATACTCTCAGCTTTTCGATCTTTTTTGAAACCAAATCATGTAAGATAAATATGATTTGCAGAGTTGGACCTTGTGCATATATGAACATATGAATCAAGATTGGTAGCAGACTACTTTCTCACTGGCAAAGTGTAACTGCAGAATATGTGGTATTTTGGATACTTGGAGTAAAGCTTAAAGAAGATTTGGTTTTTAGAACGTTTCCTAATTAAGTTAAAGTATTCTAATCTTTTGGCTGCTCTATTCTTTGCTGTTTATTAAAATTACATTTTTATTTATTTGGTTATGGTTGGGAGCAATTATGTAAAGGAGATGAAATTTTAAAATCAAAGTTGTTAAAACATTTTGAGGAGAATAGCAATCAGGAAGAGTTATTAATTCAGAAACACAGAAAACTGTTTAGGCAGGTAATATGTACACCTCATACACATGTGCCACTGTTGACAGTGAGCTCCAGGCAATGTTTTATTGGTTCAAAGACTATCTCAACTCAACTTGTGCCTCTAATGTTAGAATTCTTTAAAGGAAATGTCTTCTATTTGTTATCATCGTGATTGCTGCCAATCATACTATGTGTATGAGAAGGAGGGAGGTTCTGGTATGCTAGGGGCACAAACACATGATGATGTGAAATAAATAAATCATTCAGTAAAATCTTACAATATAACAGCAACTTGACATCTATCCAACCCTATCCTTCTGCGGTCTCAAAGGACCGTTGAACAGTGAGTCAATATCGAGATTATAGATGAAATCTTCCCTTCAGTAGTATGACGACAGTAATGGCGAGTGTGGTGACAAAATAGGGTGACAATGAAACAATTAAATCCTTCACCTCAAGAAGGGTTTTTCTGATTTTTCCGTCAAGCCTCGAGTGGCAACATCAGAATTTCATCCTTGAGCCACGGCTACCTTATTTCCATGCATTTGCGTGTGATTAAAGCCCCAACTCACTCTATTTATATCACACCTAATTCTCCACTCCTGCTAATTGCCTGTCCTGGCCATCATGCTGCTGCAACCTCTGCACAACATCAGTGCATCATACCCGCAACACCACAATGTTTCCTGACTCTTCATCTCAGAACTCTGCCATGACAAATCATTAGCCCTACCACATCCAGCATGCCTGCTTGTGGACTAACTCTGCCACAAACCACTTTCAGGCCTTTTTGGAGTTGACAAACACCTGCATCTTGCATGCTTCTCCAGATCACTTTATGCTCAGGGACGTCTGTGTATCTTTTGCATCTATATGGGGTGCTTTTGCGCTGGTGTGAACACGTAAGCATCTTATGGCTGTTAGTTTTCTGGGTGCTGGCTGACTTTAGTACCTACTTGACACTGCCAGCCTTTGTGGGGTCGCATTGCTTTCTTAGCACAGAGTGAAAAGACCTTTGAGTGCTCACTTACAGGCTGCCAACCTCTGCAGTTTACCTTGGTTTTCAGCGTAGAGAGAGAGAAACAGCTTGTGTTATTGCGGAGCACTGAAGAGTAAATGTTTCAGTCATGTTACAGTATGGCACCATGCTACATCAACATCAGAGCTGCAGCATGAGCCAGCTGCTTAAACGCCAAACATACTCCATGTGCATGTAAATGGCGATTTGTGAAAATCTATGGAGAAGAGTCCTTAGTTGGGTGAAGGGGGACTACTGTCACTAAGGGGATACCCTCCAAGTCATATACCATCAGTTAAGGGTCTTATCCAATTACCATAGGGTATTGACCATGGTGAATCATGCAAGTCAAGTGCAACCAGTTCGGGGATTACAGGTAGGTCTGTCAGGTGCAGTTGAGGCATCAGTCTTGGGAGGGAGGGTGGTAAGACAATTTTACCTCCACTGTGGCAAAAAGAGGGATAGGGTGTAATTGAAGTGATTGCAACCACAGTTAGTGGTCATGCATGCACAGAAGAACTAGTGAAGTAATCTTAAGTGAATGAGTAGGAAACATCAAGAGCAGAAAGCATTATTAGTCTGGGAGGATGAGGTGGTGAGAGCCCTTGAGTAAGCATGATGCATCCAAAGCTTAGAACTGTTGTTCATCGGCCTTGGTGAGATGCATGCGCAATGTTAGACTGTGTGCTGGCCCTTGCGTGTGAAATAGCAGAGAGAAAATGGTGCTACTTACTTGTATGAAGTTCAGGAGATCATTGACCCTCTTGAAGCATTGCTGAGCATCCCTTTTCTCACAGGACACAGCACTGACCCATGCTGCAATTTCTTTCCAGGCTGGCTGAGTGTATTGGCATGGTCTCCTTTGGCTGTCAACAGAGAAAGGGAGCCCTCTAGCACTCCATCCACCAGCACCTCCATATTTCTGTCCTGGAAACAGGGAGCTAGCTTGCCTTTCCTCTTAGATAATTTGAGATTAAGTAGAGTTAAGCTGCGCTGTTTAAGAGGTAGTTCTAGGTTTGTGGCATCTGAAGTGGAGTGTAGCTGAGCTTTAAATAATGAATCTGAGGCATGCAGCCTGAAAGATCTTGCACCTTCGCCTCACTTGCCCACACTGTTTTCTTGAGAAGCCTGGTGAACAGCTCAGAAGCGTAATTACTAAGGTGAAAAGCAAAAGATCACATGAGACCTTATAGAACCTTTGTTCTATATATTGTGATGTGTTATATGTTTTATTTATGGATTAGATAGTATATCTACTGTTATCTATCATTATTCTTCATTAATAATAATGCAATAAATTACCTAGAATATTTTCTTTTCATACCTGAATAAACCAAAGTCTGATCTTGCAATTGCTTATGGATTTGACCACAGTTAAATAAATTAAAAATACGGTAGAGTAGAAGAAAAGTTCATCAGTCAAATTTCAAGGACACATTTATAAAACTGACCACAATTTAGATTATAATTAGCATGAGTCTTATGATCTATAACAGACAACATTACACAGTGACAGATTAACTGAAAAGATGATCTGTGTATTCAGTTCCGGTAACCAGCACATGGCTAAATTGCCTGCTTACTAAAAGGAGAATATTTAGAGAGAGTTTACAGCACCATTCTTCTGTGTCACCTAGTTGTCTATAAAAGAATAATACTTGGACTGAGATGGCTGTGGTATATTTTGTCTATAATTGGTGCCTGATCTTGGAACCTAGTAACGGGAAAGGGAGTATAAAGTATTTTGACTGAATAGCTCAGTGGGTTTTTTCTCAGTGATTAGTTGAATCATTCAGACCAGGAGGATCCCAAGTTTGAATTATATTGTGTTGAGTTAGCTGATTTCAAACAAAGTGAGTGCACTCTGCTGACCTCAGTGTGTGCATTATAGGGGGGATAAAATCAGCCTTTATTCCTGCTCCTATTTGCTATCCTGTGATCCTTATTGAAAGTGCAGTAAGTGGACATCAGGTGTTGGCCTGCACTGTGATGTTCCCAAGGCCAAATAACTTGCAGGAATCACTAACATAGCTCACACACTAATATATATTTATGGCAGAATATTCTCTAAGTTATTCAAATGGCTCATCAGTCAGCCACTTCAGTGATATCAATGTTTTTTTTGTCCTTTTATCATCTCTGGCCACCCTCAATGTATTTGACATTTTGGGTTTTCATTGGATGCCAACAAACCATATTTGCAAATACTAAATGCTCATAGTATCTTGTTCTTTTGAAGATTTTGCAATGAATATGTTTGGACCCTCTCTACAAAATTCTCAAACAGGAGTTTGTTTATAGAGTTGAATGCTATTCACTTGGTTCAGTTGAATGAGTTTTGTATGAATGCCAAAACCTAACTTGAATCCTGTCATCATTGTTCTGTTGGTTTACTGATCCTGATACCAAACTGCTGTCTTGGTGAGTGGTGGTATGTGTGGTGACTACTGACGGCGGTCAAAGAGTAATTTATCACACTACCTGCTATTCGTAGTGAGAAATGTATATAGTGAAGGCCTTATTGTAGCTGGAGGTAATATAAATAGTTGATAAACAATGCCAATTGCAGATTACTCTATAGCCAAGACCATTCCTCTTCTTGGCGATGGTAAGTGTGAAAATGTGTTAGTGAATTATAATTTTTTCATTACAAATTTTCTTTCATATGTATTTTTGCACCTCTAATTTTGGCTGATTTGTACAGTACAGTCTGAGAAATGTCAATTCTGTAGCGTATTCTTTATTTGCAGTACTAATGAAATGAATTGTAAAGATGTTTAATTTTTATGGTATTGATATAATTTTACTTATAAATGAGGATACTGTCCTTATGCATAATATGCCACCTGTTTGGAAAAGAGTCTCATTCTGTGAACTTGTATCCAACTCTAGTTTACAGGAACTGATAAATAATTAAATATCAATCTGTAAATAAATGTGCTTTGCATAATTTAATTCAGTAAGGAGACCTATCTAATTGAAACTTGATCAGTGTTCCTAATGTTAGATCTCAGCTATAAACCCACACTGGTAATCCTTTTGAGTTTTAATATTTTGGTGTATTTCCCACTAAACACCAGTTTCCAAATAATGAGAGAAGATAAATAAGAATGAAAACAAATATGCACATTGAGTTGGCTGTGAAGTGACTCCAGATGCACTGCTCTACTCAACCCTATGGAATGTAGGTGAACTAACAGAATTAAGAAACAATTTAGCAAAGTCACACAAACCCATTAGGTTTGATTTAGTCAGTTGAGATGAGGTAGTGTTTCTGTTACAAGCAATCAAGTATTATTTCTTCTTATTTCTTTGTATGAGCAAAATGCCCATAAATCTCCGAGTAAAACAAGGTATTCTTTGAAACAAATGCAAGCCTATGCAATATAAGGAAACATCTTGAAAATTATTCCCATCTATTTATTACATAGTTTGCTGTATTGCCCCCTAACCTACTCTGTCCTTACCACCCTAAACCCCAGTAGTAGTGTTGAGAAAGTTGGTGTACTAGCCACACCTGTCCAGAAACCTGTGCTGTTGACCTGTAAGTGAAATAACTTGGCCAAACTCTGAGTAAAATCAGAAGCAGCTTTCTCATATGTGTTCATAGAAGAATATACCAGATAATGTATTTATGTATTTTTATTCATCACCATAATCACGATGTTGGGCTTGTAAAGATCATGGAAGGCACTAGCGCACTTTTAAGACAATCCTTTTTTTGGAATTTGGCCTGTGAAAATTGAAATAAAATGAAAACAAAGACGAGAAACAACCTGTATTTTGACCAGTTTATTACTGCAAATATTGTTTGCATAATTCAAAATGTAATGCTCTCTCATTAAGCTAAATATCGAGTTTGAAAAAGGTTTAAAATAAATGCTGCTAAATTTGTCTTGTTGTTGTTAGTTGTAATTATCAACATTCTGACCACTGTAATAAAGAGATTCGCTTTATTTGAAAATCCTCGTCTCCAATCTGGGATGTGCTGCCTGTTGCTGGAATTTGGAATTTGGCTCCAAAGTCTAGGATAGTTCTCCTGTACCTCATCCAAACAGCTATTCTACATGCCTGGCCAACTATTAACAGAGACCATTTTACCATGGACGGTATTAAATTCAAGTTAACGTTCAGGTGCTTATACTATCCAACAGAGCACTCTGGAGAATGATTATTGGATGATTATTCCTCCTGCCAATGCTCAGGGTACTAAATGTGGTAAAACTTCTGTTGCTACAGCCGAACTCCCCATGGGCTGAGGAATAATTTGGGCCTTTCCTTGTCTCTGTGATTCCATGTAGGTTATTTAACAGATGAATGACAGAAGCAACCCTCTCTTTCTTGTGCAGGAATAACAGCTAGAGTTCATCATGACTGTGATAGGAATTCAACCTCCTTACTCGATGAGCTATACTAAAAGGGTAAAGGTCTTGTTTAATCACCAAAATAAATGTTGTCAATTTGTTTCTCATTATTATGGTTAATTGGAACAAAAGAGACTTTAAGTAAACTTAAAAACTAGCTTGTGTTTAAAGCATAAGTCCTAATAAACATGGCCAAACTAGTTATCAAATAAGCTACTATGCAGAATTAAACTATATTTCCCACACCACCCCACCCCACCTTAATACTAACAAAGCTTTAGTGGGAGTGGTATATAGACCACCAAACTGCAGTGGTGACATTGGTAATGGCATTAAATAAGAAATCAAAGATGCAGATGATGAAGGAATATTTGCAATTATGGGTGACTTTAATCTGCAAATAGATTAGGCAAAGCAAATTAGTCACAACACTGTAGAGAATTCTTAGAATGTGTACGGAATGGTTTTCTGGGCCAATATGTTGATGAACCAACTAGAGAACAGGCCACCTTAGACTGGGTATTATGCAACGATAAGGAATAATTGGTCTTGTAGTTTTGAGAGACCCCTTGGGGATGAACAACCATAAAATGATAGAACGCTTCATCAAGATGGAGAGTGAGGTAGTTGTTTCTGAAACTAGGGTCCTAAATCTTAATAAGGAAAAGTACAATTGTATGAAACATGAGTTGGCTATGACAAGTTGGGAAATGTTACTGAAAGGCATTACAGTGGATATGCAGTGGCAAACATTCAAAAAGCAAATGGGTGAACTACAAAAATTGTTTATTCCTATCTGGCACAAGAGTGCAAAGAGAACAATGGTCAAACAATGGCTTATGAGGCAAATTGAGATAGCATTAGATGCAAAAAAGGTATACAAATTTGCAAGAAAAACAACAGACCTGAGGATTGGGATCAATTTAGAAGTCAGCAAAGGAGAACTAAAGGATTGATTAAGAAGGGGAAAATGGAGTATGAGAGTAAACTTGTGGGGAACATAAGAAAGTTTCTATAGGTATGTAAAGCGAAAAATATTGGTGAAAACTAATGTAGGTCCCTTATGTCAGAAACAGGAATTTATATTGGAAACAAAGAAATGGCTGACAAACTAAATACATACTTCACTTCTGCCGTTATAAAGAAGGACATGAATAACATACCAGAAATGATGGGGTTTAGTGAGATGGAGGAACTGAAGCAAATCTGTATTAGTAGTGAAATGGTGCTGGAGAAATTGATGGGATTGAAGACTGATAAAACCCCAGGGCCTGATAATCCACATCTCAGAGTATTTAAGGAAGTGGCCCTAGAAATAGTGGATGCATGGATGGTCATCCTCGAAGATTCTTTAGTCTCTGGAACAGTTCCTACAAATTGGAAGGTAGCTAATGTAACTCCAATATTTTAAAAGGGAAGTAGAGAGAAAACAGGAACTATAGACTAGTGAATCTTGATGTCAGTAGTGGGGAAGATGCTAGAATCCATTATCAAGTATATTGTAACATAGCATTTAGAAAATAGTGGTAGAATTAGATGAAGTCAGCATAGATTTACAAAGGGAGATCATGCTCAACAAATTTACTGGAATTCTTTGAGAATGTAATCAGTAGAATTGATCGGGGGAGCCAGTGGATGTAGTTCATTTGGACTTTGAGTAAACTTTCACCAAAGTTCCACTCAAGAGATAACTGAGTAAAATTAATGTATTGAGATGGACAGAAAATTGGTTGGCAAAAAGGAAACAGAGTAGGAACAAATGGATCTTTTTCTGAATAGCAAGCAATGACAAATGGGGTACTGCAGAGAATGGTACTAGGACCCAGCTATTCATAATATATGTTAATGATTTGGATGAGGGATCTAAATGTACTATCTCAAAATTTTCAGGTGACATAAAGTTGGATGGAAGGGTGAGCTGTGAGGAAGGTTCAGATATCTTGCTGTAAGATTTGGACAGACTGAGTGAGTGGGCAAATGCATGGCAGATGCAATATAATATGGTTAAATGTGAGATTATCTACTTCGGTAGCAAAATTGGAAGGCAGATTATTATTTGAATGGCTGTAAACTGAGAGAGGAAAATGTTCAATGAGACCTGGGTGTCCTCTTGCACCAGTTGCTGAAAGTAAGCGTGCAGATGCAGCAGGCAGCAAAGAAGGCAAATTGTATGTTGGTCATCAGAGCAAGAGCTGAACAATTCTGATAGTGTTAACAGCTATATTATCACCCAATTCCAGATGATCGGTCAAATTCATAATTTGGTTCATTCATGTTTCCTAGAAGTAAAATACATCCATGTGCATGGGAGATGATGGCCGAGTGGTATTATCGCTGGACTGTTAATCCAGAGACCCAGATAATGTTCTGGGGACCTGGGTTCAAATTCTGCCACGGCAGATGGTGGAATTTGAGTTCAATAAATATCTGGAATTAAGAATCTAATGATGACCATGAATCCATTGCCGATTGTCAGGGAAATCCCCATCTGCTTTACTAATGTCCTTTAGGGAAGGAAATTGCCATCCTTACCTGGTGTGGCCTACATGTGACTCCAGACCCACAGCAATGTGGTTGACTCTTAACTGCCTGATGGGCAATAAATGCTGCCTGGCCAGTGACACCCTCGTCCCATGAATGAATACAGGAAAAAAAAATAAAAGAAATGTGTTCTCTACAGACAACAAGGTGCAGAGCTGGATGAACACAGCAGGCCAAGCAGCAT